TGTTAAAGAGCAAAAGTATCAGTTTGACGACTAAGGTGCACCTGACCCACATCATGGTATTCTCAGTTTCCTCATAGGCATGTGAAAGTTAGACAATGATTAACTTAGTAGAATCGATACATTTGAATTATGGTGTTGGAGAAGAGTATTAAAAGTACCATGCACTGCCAGACAAACAAACAAATCTGTGTTGGAAGAAATACAGCATGAATGCTTCTTAGAAGTCAAGATGGCAAGACTTTGTCTTTCATAATTTGGACATGTTATCAGGAGGGACCAGTCCCTGGAGAAGGACATCTTGCTTAGTAAATTAGAGCATGAGCAAAAAAAAAAAAAAAGGAAGATCCCAACCAGATGGATTGACACAGGGGCAGCAGCCATTATGAGAACAGAGTGGTCACAGCAGTTTTGAGGATGATGCAGGACTGGGTAGTATTATGTTATGTTGTGCATAAGGTCACTATGAGTCAGAACCAATTCAATGGCACCTAAAACAACAAAAGTTCCTTTCCTTCTCTCTGCATGGTCTCTCTGTCTCCAGTCTACTTCTACACCCAAGTGTGCCTCTAAAATCCACCACTGTCTTATTCACTCTTCCATTCCTGCCTACCTCCATCTAATTCCCTCTTACAAGACTCCTAATCCATCTTCTTAATTTCTCTTCCAGTCTTACCAACTTCTATTCTCCATCACTTCCCATCATATATAGAGCTGCCAGAGATACCATATAGCAACCTTGTTATAACACAATCTCACACACACACACACACACACACACACACACACACACAAAAATCTACAAAACACTGTGAAGTATAGTGCCATCTACCTACCTTGCAATTTTGTCTTTTGTTACCGTATGTATTCTCCTCTAGGGGACCCTAAACATAACTTTCTGATTTCTCATCTTCATACCAGGCAAAGTTCATTCCTGGAAAAAAATTCCCTCCTCCCAGACCTGCACAGAATTCAAAGATGAGACAAGTAGGGGATTGTTTGTTGGAGGGGATAATGAGCATTGGTCTTTTTTGGAATTCTAGCAAATGAAATGCTGACAAGGTTATAGAAAAACTTTATTGACTTAGAGAAGAAGAATAAACTTTAAAATGTGGGGACATAAGGAAAGAGGTCAGTTGCATTTAAGAGTCTTTGGGGCTCTTTTCCATCTGGTGGCAGCCATCAGGGTAAACCGAGGTGGGTGCTTACAAGTACATCCAAGAACTATGGAGGAAGAAACTGTCCGATGTGATGCGATTTCTCCTGCAGGTCTGCTGTTGGCAGTACCACCAGCTCTCTGCATTACACAGGGCCACCCCATCCCACACAGCCAATAAGGCGTGTAGACTTGGATACAAGGCCAAGCAACGTTATGTCATCTATTGGATTTGCATGCACAGAGGTGGCCCCAAACCCTAAGTACCTAAAGGTGCAACGTACAGCAAGCCTGTCTATCATGGTGTTAGCCAGCTGAAGTATGGTAGAAACCTTCAGTCTGTGGCTGAGTAGCGAGCTGTATGCCACTGTGGGGCCCTTAGAGTCCTCAATTCTTACTGGGTTGATGAAGATTCCACATATAAATTTTTTGAAGTTATCCTCATTGACCCATTTCATAAGGCTATCAGAAGACATTCTGACACCCAATGGATCGCCAAGCCAGTTCACAAGTACAGGGAGATGTGTGGTTTGACATCTACTGGCTGCAAGAGTCGTGGCCTGGGGAAGGACCATAAGTTGTAGGATACTATTGTTAGTTCCCTGAGGGCTGTTTGAAGAAGACACAATATGAATATACCACTACCATTAGTATAAGTAATGTTTGTGAAACTCATGCCTAATCAACAGTTTAGGACAGTCAACATCAACTTAAAAGTGTTCTTTGTTAAATCAGTAGTTGTCTGCAGATTGTTTCATGAATGCATTGTCAAATTATGAAAGTGAAAGTGCAAAAATATTTGAAGACAATAAGTGAATAATGTATCTTGTTTCTAGTAAGGTAAATGCTTTTAGTTGTGCTTTAAGAATCTTACTAAGGAGTTACCTTTCAATTTTAAAATGGCATAGTGTGTGGTATAATAGGTGTAAAATAAGATCTTGAAAAGGAGCTTTGAAATGATCTCGTTCTATACACTTTAAAGCATGCGCTAAAACCTACAGTTTTATTAGGGTGATGCAATGCTCTGATAGCTTCAAATGGTTGGAGCTTTGGTTTTCCTTGTTTTTAGAGTTTAACAAAGGTGAATTCACACCAACTTTCTTAAGCAAGTTGGATTTTGCTTGGACATTTATAAGATGGGAGGAGACTGTACTAACCTTTTGTCATGTACATTTTGCAGAAAATTAATGGGGTCAATTAGAATCCATATTTTTATATTGTAGCTATTTATATAACTGCAGGTTTTGAAAAGGAAAATTTTTAAATGCCGCCATTTTTAGAAGAAACACTGCAAGAGAACTTTCAAATGCAACAAGTTTGACTTATCAACCTAAACAGAGTTGCCTTGGTCTCCATGATATCATCAAAGTGGAAAGCTTGTTCAATCACCTTTTCTGGGATGTGTAGAATCCTGGATTTGATAAAATGTCTGCAGTGGTATTTACATTGGGGGTCCTGGAGAGGTGCTGTGGTCTCATGTGCTACACTGTAAAGTTGGTTTTTACCATAAGGTCAGGAATTCATGTTTGACTACTACTCATCAGAAACCCATAGGATTGCTATGGGTCAGAACTGACTCGATGGCACTTAATTACATCGAAACACAAATTGAGCATTATTTGAATGAAACAAGACAATTATTTAACCTTGAGATGTACAAGCTAGGATATTAAGTTAACTCCCTTGGGTCCATTAATAAATATTCAGGTGTTTGAGAACAAGTGTGCAGTCTTAGTTTTTTTAAATCTTGTTTGTGACTATTGTAGACCCTCTCTCCTTTTTAGTGAAAATAAGATTAGCTATAAAAGCAAATAGCCTGAAATTTTCTTTGGTTAGCCCACTGTATCAACTCCCATAAAGTTACTGAGTCTTGGTCTGCAGGTTCACATTCCACTGTAGATTGCTTAGCCCTGGACCACCCCATTCCACAACCAATTTAGCAATTGTGTGCTCACCTTCTAAGCATACTACCATTTTGTTGGGATTGTCTATGTCACATCTAAACCTTCCCACAATGAGTGTGTAGAAAATACAGAATTGCCTCGGTTCTCCAATTCTGAATTGGCTGATGAAAGTTTAATTTTATAATCTGATGACAAGTTTCCAGGAACCAATGTCCCCATATTGTCCACCAACCTTGGAGTTCAAACCGATCTTGTGGTCCAGTGAGTTAACCCACAGCACCACATCAGGACTCTGTGTGGGGTTCTAACAATCAACAAAGGTATTTTGAGGGGGAAGCAGGTACCTATATTGGTGTTGCATGCACAATGTGGAGAGATTGAAAGAAGATCATTGCTGCTCTTTCAGAAACTTCTACAGAGAGGCAGAGGTGAAATCTGATCTTCAGAAAATTTAGGAGATGGGAGTGGGTAATTCCAGTTTAATGGGGATGACAATGGGAGATGGCAAAGAGGAGATTCAAGGATTCTAAGTGTTGCCAAAGGCCCTGCAGCCAACTCAAAATCAATGCCAGTGTTGAAGGCCAGGTTTCTGCATGGTCTCTCATTGGTATGAGCCTCATAGAAACCTGTCATTTCCTTCTCATCAGTATTGACCAGGGAGCATGATGGCTGGGTACAGTCCTTTAAGCATTTCCATCCTCCTTTGAAGGGGTATTTTTATGAAACAGTTATGATGAATTGTTTAAAATACATAAATATGAATGAGAGAGAGATTTACTATGCCAGGGAAATAAAGTTTATTGGAAATTAAATGAAGTATCCCCCTTGCATTCCAGACAATACCAAAGAAACAAGGAAAGCCAGAAGCACAATACCTATGGGAAACACCCTAAAGTAGTGGGTAATATCTAGAGATGAGGTTATAAGGAACTATCTTTAGAAATTTAAAGACTTAACCTTTAGCACAAAAGAGCTTTCCAGACATTACGAATTAGTGATGTGTGACAGCTGTTGAGTCTGGAAGGCTGATGTGACACAGATTTCTAAATGGAAATGGAGCTCCAGCAAAGGCAGGTTCCAAGGATCTTTCATATGCTTGGTCTAAATGGCTTCATGAGTGTCTTCAAAGAGGATTCAAGCTTCTAAGTTAACAGCGACGTGACTGAGAACTGCCACAGGGTCCAGAGGAGTTGCCACGAGCATTGGAGGTGGAACAAGGGTTGGAGGGAAGCCTGGGGAGACACAAAGATTTAGATTGGGGCATTGTGGATGGGAGTGGACAGAACCCTAAGGCACACATAACACCTTGAGTTCAATGACACAATCGATGAATCGATAATGGTTGTGGTTAGTTGACATCAAATTTGCTTGATAAAAATCCTTCTTTCTCTCCAAGATTACCTTGTGCAAAGGTGGAAGGGATTTCTTACATGGTTCCTGGAAAAATACTCTCCCATCCTCTTGAGGTGAGATGAAAATATGGCCAGCATGTGAGTACCCATAATGTTTTGTAATCCCACCTAATAGGTTTTCCCAGAAATCTTTAGCATCATACTCACTTGCTGTCCTCACTCTCCAACAGGCTCCGGTATGTGTTGATCTCACTCTCCAGGCGCGCCTTGACATCCAGCAGCACCTGGTACTCCTGGTTCTGACGCTCCAGGTCACAGCGGATCTCAGACAGCTGGGACTCCACGTTGGTGATCATGCTCTGCACCTGGGACAGCTGAGAGCTGTAGCGTGCCTCTGTCTCTGTCAATGTGTTTTCCAGGGAGTCTTTCTGTGATGGGGAAGACCAAAAATAAATAAGTCAATATTCAGACACAGGCTCCTTTAAACTGTTTCTCATATTGTTACAAACAAGTCATAAGCTGCAAAAGTTGAGTATTTGTGATCTGAAGGGACCCCAGAGACTGAATTCCCTGGCTTTGCATTTCTCAGCAGGACATCTGAACAGTACTCACCAGGTTGTGCTGGGCCTGCAGCTCGATCTCCAGGGAGCTAACAGTGCGTTTCAGCTCCATGATCTCAGCCTGGCTGGACTGCAGCTGCTCCGAGCTGGATGCCACCTGTTTGTTCAGTTCCTCAGTCTGAAATATCCATGGGGGAGAAGACAAGGTCAGATCCTGCCTTATATGCCAAGTAGGGGTATCAAATCCTGGGTGGCCAGTTGCTTAGATGCCCACCTGTTTGGCAAACCATTCCTCCACATCCCTGCGGTTGTTCTCCACCAGGGCCTCATACTGAGACCTGGTCTCATTCAGCACACGGTTCAGGTCCACATTGGGGGCAGCATCCACCTCCACGTTGAGGCGCTCACCAAGCTGGCTTTGCAGGGCATTGACTTCCTGAAGGAATAAAGGAAAGAAAGGAACACAAACAGAGAAGTCTATAAATAAACTCTATTTGATAGAGTCCAATGTGGTGGAGAGAGGATTACACTGGAATATAGAAAACAGTTTATGTAAAAGTCCATTGTTAACTTTGACAAGTCAGTCCTCCTGTCTCTTTTCTTCATCTCTATAATGAGGATGCTTGGTTCAATAATATCTAATGTTTCTTTGCACTTCAGGATTTTATTGCATCTTTTTGATCTTCCTACTGCTCACTGTAAGCCTGGCCTAGTACATGGTTTACAATCATTGCTATGTAAATATAAAGAGTTTAGTTTGACTCTCCTCTTTCATTTCACGGAACTCTCTTACCTGCTCATGGTTCTGCTTGAGATGCAACAGCTCCTCCTTCAGAGACTCCGCCTGGGACTCCAGGTCAGACTTGCACAGGGTCAGCTCGTCCAGCATCCTGCGCAGGCTGTTGATGTCAGCCTCCACCAACTGTCGCATGGAGAGCTCCGTCTGGTACCTGTCCACACAGACATAAGTCAAAAGAGGTAAAAAACAAAGACTTTCTTTCCTGTGATTTGCTTGCCTGATATATTATCCATTATATTGGGAAATATTCTGAGTTTTTAAAACTTCATATGCCAACTAAAACTTGTCGTAATGTGCTTTGAGCCTTGATTTACTCATCGGTAAAACAAAGTGACCCTTTCGTAGGACTGGCCTGGAGCTAAAGAAGTGTCATAAGTGAAATCACAGTGGAAACTCCAAGGTCCCATATAAAATCCAAAGGACTCTTAGGGTTGTGAAGGTCATAGCTAGAAAGATTGAAAGATTCTCTGAAAGAAATGGATATTACCTCCTGTTTTGTGATTGAATCATTTCTCTCTGATGACTGAGAGTAACTAGCCTGCATTAAGAGATCAGAGTGAAATTCACTTCTTAACTTGGTCTGACACAAGTGAAAAGAGAAAGAACGGTGATTTCTTACACTCTTTCAAACAAAACTTAAAACCCAGGATCTGAGAGCTAAGGCGACTTTAGAAGATATCTAACTCAGGATAAAAAAATCCTTCCAATCTTATCCCAGATAGCTTCTAATTGCACATTCACCAGGACACAGGTCACCACTTTGTAATCATCCCGCCCCATTACCCATTACTACATGCTTCTGATCCTGAGAAAACGTCCTTACTTGGTTCTGAAGTCGTCGGCAGCCAGCTTAGCATTGTCGATCTGCAACACCATCCTGGTGTTCTCAGCCTTACTGGACAGGATCTGGAAGATTAAAGCATTCCAGAATAAGCAAGACCTTTATTTTTCAGGAACACTACTGGCACTGTGGGATCCTGGTGTCTCCATATGATAAGCTCTAGACTGTGAAACATAAGGTCTGCAGTTTGAGCCCACTAGTAACTCCATACTAGAAAAATGAGGCTTGCTGCTCAAGTAAATCACAGCTTAGAAAATATTGTGTAGTGACACTCCAAGTCAAAATTGACTCAATGGCAATGGGTTTTGTCACTTTCAGCCAGTACCATGCCTGATAACCTGCTTATATGGAAGGAACATGATATGGAAGGAAAAATTATAGTGTAGCATATAAGAATGGGCTTCAAAAATCCGTGGAAAAATTCCATTACGTTTTAATTCCACTTTACCACAGACTTTTTGAAGCTTCCTCTTATCAGGTGATTAAATGCTGTTTATGTGTAATATGTGCTCAATTATATCTGAGAATAATGAATGCCTAACTCCTCAAAGTTCAAAGCCATTTTCATTATGCTACATTTTTTCAAATAACTCTGGGTGCTCCAGATTTTCAGTATTAGGATAAAAGGAAGACCAGAATGGTCAAGTGGAAATGTGTCCTTCATTTGGAATTCTTCTCTTCTTGGTCTGTCTCTGGCTTCCTGCAGGTATTGGGTAGCCAAGTCTCACAGAAGGTGGCCAATTGTTCCAATTCACTTAGGAAGCAGTGTTCAAAAAATTCAATATTACATTTAACAAATCTGCTGCACAAGACCTCTTTGAAGTGTTCAAGTACAAAGATGTCAGTTTAAGGACTAAGGTGCAGTTGACCCAAGCCATGGTATTTTCGATAACCTCATATGCATGTTAAAGTTGGACAATGAAAAAGGAAGACTTGCAGAAGAATTAATGCATTTGAGGTATGTGTTGATGAATAATATTAAAAGTTCCATGGACTATCACAAAAACAATCAAATCAGTGTTGGAAGAAGTATGTCCATAATGGTCCTTAGAAGCCAGGATGGCAAGACTTCTTCTCTCGTACTTCACACATATCATCAGGCAGGACATATTATCATGCTTGGTAAAGTGGAGGACCAGTGCAAAAGAGGAAGACCCTCAATGTGATGGATTAGCACAGTGGCACCAGTGTTGTACTTTAACATAACAACTCTTGTGAGCATGGTGCAGGATACAGTCAGTGTTTCATTCTGTTGTGCATAGGGTTGTTGTGTCAGAGCCTACTCGACAGCAATTCACAACAACAACAGTGTCCTTCAAATGGTAAAACCAGTAATGTTCCAAGCAAACAAAGGCAATTGGATACTCTATGCTTAATACCACCTATCTTTCAATCTGCACCTCACTCCCCTCTCCCCGTACCTTGTCATTGTTCATTCTTTTGCACCCAGCTTCTCCCTCTTCCTGCACTATACTTGACTGCCCTTCCCCACATAATAAGGCTCCTTGTATAACATCCATTCCCAACTCCTGCATGCAGTCCCTTCTTTCCTGGCCTTCCACAGGACTTTGCACAGAGCCACATTCACCATGGTCATTTGTGTCTACATATGTTTCCTCTATTAAGCTGTGAACTCCTTAAAGAAAGAGACAATTTACTCGGTGCTTTATTCCCCACCCGACTGCTTTGCCTAACGCTCACTAAATGCATAAGTGATATTCAAATCACGTGACCACTTTCTGTCATTCACTTTGACGGAACTACAGAGCAATGAAGAGTCAGTGCCCTCAGAGAATTAAGAACTTGTGCTGTTGAATACAAACCCATGCTCATGCTTCACAACCCTGCACAGATATTACCTCCAATAGAAAGCCTTCCCTAATCTTCACCAGGCATTAGGTCCCACCTCTGTGCTAACTCTTTACTTGCACCCTTTCTACACCTACATTTATGACTTTGTTTTCTCACTATCTCCAAGTCTGCTTTAGTGGGTGGTATGTGTGTCTATGTACATCCATGAGACATCTGGAATCAAAGCCCATTTGCTTTGCCATAGACGTTGTCTTTTGCTATAATTTTTATAGGCTTTAGGAATTTATGGATTTAGTTACAAAACTCCTAAGTCAGAGAAACATTTCAGCTGCCTTTTGTTATTATTATTATTCCTCTAATACTCAGCAAACAAGAACAGGTTATCATAACAGAACGAAAAAATCAGATATTCAGATTTTAAGAAAGAAGCCCTTTGGAAGCAAGTAAAGTTTGTACAACTGATTTGGGCTCAATTCTTCCTGTGATCCACAGTCTGTAGGCTGATGATTGACAAATAGAGTTTCTAAAACTACTTGAAGTTCCATGCCAAAGTCAATTCATTCTGTATCATTACATCCTCAAGTTAGCTGTGAGCAGCCTTAGATCCCATTCAGAAGTTGGCATGTCATAAAAATGAGTGAATGAAACCAAGTGCATTAAGCTGACAATGTGGTGCCCACATCCTCACCTTCTTCTGGAGCTGCTCGATGGTCTGGAAGTAGGACTGGTAGTTCGGGGAGGCATAGGGCACCTGCTGCTGGGAAAACTCACGGATGCGGCCCTCCAGCTCTGCATTCTCCTGCTCCAGCTGGCGCACCTTCTCCAGGTAGCTGGCCAGGCGGTCATTCAGCAACTGCATGGTCTCCTTCTCATTGCCATTGAAGGAGCCCTCACACAGCGA